TTAAAATGAAAATGAAAAACCTTTGAGTATCTGTTTTTCTCATTTACATAAAAAAATCAAGATCTGGGTATGGCGGTTGTATGGCTATAATCCCAGCACTCAGCTGTACTACACAGTGAGACTGTCTCAAACAGTCAACATAAAACAAAAAAAAGAAATTCAAGGACACGGTTTAGTTTATGATCAACTTTTACTCTGCTAAGTGTTAGCTGCTTACAATCTATCACCCATTAGATTGTAAACTTGAATTGGTGGTGACATTTGTTTTGCGTAACAGTAACAATTTCGATTTACTGAGAGCCTACTGCATGTCAGGAACTGTGCTACATAGTTACTGTAGTCCATGGCTAAATAGCACTTCTATTCACACATCACAATCCTTACTCCCACCTCTTACTTCAGCCGCTGATGCAGTACCAGGTTTCACACATGCCGTAACAGACTTCATGCAGAGGACCAGTTAGAAGGTACCATATACGTCTCGAATCTGCCCTGAAGCTCTCGACCCCACAGCTGGTACCCACATGTATGAAGTCTACACTACCTATCCAATCTGGAAGTGTGGAGGAGTTATGGCCTCTCACTTCTTTGGGTGAACACTTCTGAGTCTCATTTCAGTACGCATCAAAAGCACTTAGTAGAATTGAGTATTAGTTTCTTGTGTGGGCAGACATCTGGATAACTTATCCTTCTGTTGGCTTTTCCTCCTTCCCTCTTCATTCCCAGTTCTCCATTCCTGCTCCTCTATCATAGTCACTTACGGGCACACCAATTTTTGTCTCAAGCTGTTGCCTTCTGTGTCACCTAACCTGACACCTCTCTAAAATTGGCAACTTTCGTATTTGCTTTTGAGATGACCAAAGGTTCAGAGAGATTATCTTCCTTCTCACAGTTGTATACAATGGTAAGAAGAGTGTTCAAATGTATCCTCTTTCACTGTGTCACACTGTCTCACGATACCATGACCTAGTTAGGAGCTGGACTAGGAAATGCAATTATGTGGCTATGACACAACAAGTCAGAACTTCAAATACACATTACATTTTTAGATGATGCAGAAAGGACTGTTTCGCATTAGAGAAAATTTTTAGCTGTGAGACAGACAAAATGCAAATCTTGTTTGTCTTTACTTTACTTCTAAAAATACAGATTTATGAACCAATAAAAGGTGACAAATGCCTCAAATTTCCTGTTTACAGAAATATTTGTGGAAACCAATGTTATCCTACATCCTGTTGCTTTTCACTGTTTTAAAGACAAAGCTATGGTGCCTCTTTATTTGAGGCTCCGTCAGAGGATCTACTTAAACCACTACTGCTGCACCAATTTTTATTCTCACACTGAATGTTTGTGTTAATGAATTGGCATGCTTTCCCTCTCTTTTCCTCTGTTCCTGCACAGTTGTTGGTCACAGCTATGAACTGTTTACTAGGGCCTATATTTTATCCACCATAACACAAAGCAAGGTCTTCAATGCCTATCATTAAGAACATCCCCTGCGCAAAAAGAGATAAAACCACACAGCATTTTCTCTGTGCTACTTCTAAGCACTTTATGCTTATTATTATAGTCCTTTATCCTTTAAAACCCTATAAATAGGTACTGTCATCATTTCCATTTATAGAGAACCGGGGTAGAGAAGGCTAAATGACTTGTCCAAGGTCACGTGATGAGAGGAATCAAGCACTTGAACTCAAGCGTCTGACTCGATTGGCCTTTCATCACCATAGTCATCATGGCTACTGCATGGTCCATGTAAGGACTAAATGAACAGTAAGAGAGAGAGAGAGAGAGAGAGAGAGAGAGAGAGTGTGTGTGTGTGTGTGAAGTACTAGACTTCCAAGTGCCACATGATAAAGGCTATCTTAATGTTAGCTTCTATCGTTACTTGCTTCTGACATTAGGATTAATTGAACTTGCACTTTATTCTTATTCAGATCTCCAGTCTCGAGATCTCCATCATCAGCAGGTATTTCCTCATTCTGAGATAAAATGGATTCTATACAGTTAGAACTTTGCAAATTGTGAATTTAAGCTCTCTCAGATCCTGCCCACCCTCTACTATCACCATGGCATCCAGGACTTCAGCCCCTCCCTGTTCCTCTATTAAGAAACAGAGCAAACTATGGCACAGATCACAGCCACCAGGAAAAATTTTTCTGCTTATTTTTTATATCCCAGAGCATACATGTTAACTTCCCAGCTCTTTTTGTTTTTATCAATGGCACCATCATTGCTCTAATTTCTTGGACTAGAAGTCACGATTTTTCTCCTTCCTTCCTGCATATAAGTAGCTGTCTGACATTAAATTAACATTTTTTCTCCTTTGCCTCTGCCTCTCTAGCCAATATGTGATTTGCAGTTTATATCTTGCTTGCTGCAACAGCTTTCAAATAGAACTTTGTCGTTTTAATTTCTACCCATTTTTCTTGTAGCTTACTTTCTGACTTTTTCTCTAAACAATGTCTTTATTGCATAAAGCAATAGCTTTTATGTTTTTTTTTTACTATATCAAGTCAGAACACACTAGTTTTATAGCCCTTAAAAGATCAGATGGATCTTGTAACTTCTACTTGTCCATCCTCTATAGTAATTCACTATCTACCTGAGACCACTCTTTTTTTTCCCCCACATATGTGGGAAAAGTAGGCATGAGCAGTGAGTTCTTTCCCCAAATCTTTTTACTGGCACAATTGTAGTCCTCCACAGTGGAAGTATTCCTAATCAAGGAAGGAGTTTGAAGAATGGAGCAATGGATCAAGGCACAGCTTCTATTCAGGGACTACCTTATTTTGAGTAATTTTCTAAAAAGTTGCTTAAGAATAAATGAGGAAAATTTCAATTGCTATCTTTGCTACATCACAATCACTTTTTTCTTGATGTACTGCTCTTATTTTTTGAGGCTTCTTTTATTGTTTTGATTTTTTTTCCATATCAGTTTGAGTATCTAAGGTCTAGACACAACATACCTTTTTAAAAGAGAGTACTTTATGTGGGAATGTTTATGGTACTTTTATTATCGTAAGTGTCCTTTCGCTAAGAAAATCCTACTTTAAGTCTTACTTGGTTACCAGTAAAGAAAGGAAGAAAAAAAAAAATCCCTGGAAGAAATAAAAGTTTCAGAAACGGCTTTAACGTTTTTAAAAGAGTTATTATTACTTGGTCAAAATCTGCTTTGTGTGAAAGAAAGATTCTGCAATCTATGATTTTTCCCAGAACTTTTTTTTTTTTAAAGAGAGAAGATGACATTTCTCCAGATGTTTCTTCTGGGTAATTATTTTTAAATAAACAAAGGAAAATCTAGCTGAGGTTTTTTTTTTTTTGTTTTTTCACTTAAGCAGAGTAACATAGCATATGAGAACAATCTATACAATAACAGTCCATATACTAATAATGTGACATTAAGTTGTGAGCTAGGGAGGGAGTGTAGCAAATGCTGACTATCCAATGCCATACTACACAGTTTGACTACATAGTATATATTAATTGTGTGAAGGGGTTTCATTGTGATATTTCCATACATGCATATTATGTACTTTGATCATACTTACCCCCTTATTACTCTTTCTTCTTTCTTATTCTTCTCCCTCTTTTTTTTTTTTTTACAATTTTAATGGGTTTCATTATGCTATTTTCATATATGTGCATATAATGTATTTTGGTTATATTCAGTCCCCATCACACTCTTATTCCACTTCCTCACCAACAGTTTCCCTTTTACATTCATGTCCTCTATTTTTTTTAGGTCAATGTGCCCTTTCATAATTACTCTCCATGTCTGTGTGAGGCTCAGGATTGTAATTACTTGATAAAGCTCAGGGGACAAAGGACATGTCACCCAGTCAGTTCTGCAAACATGTAGGTTTCTAAGAAGAAACACCCAAACTATGATAGGCAAGAACTTTCTATCTTTTTCCCAAAGGCTAGCACAAGACATGGTTGCCACATCATTACAGTTCTTTTTATATGAAGTTCTCTGCTTATTTAGATAAAGGGACTGTGATTAGAGAGCATTCTCAAACACCTCAAGATATCAGACATCTGGAATTCCTTAAGTGATATCTCGATTAGTTGAATCACTTGCATACTTAATGCTCATTAGTAAGAAATTATGCCAGTAAAATGTTGACTTTTCAGTCAAATTGCTGAGAGAAAAATGTCACAATAGTTCAAAAATCTGATGAAAAATGGTAACACTTTTATCATCTCATTTGTCATCACAAATGACACTTAAAGTATGGCCCTAGAAAGAGTCTGAAGTTCGTGTTGCGAGGGTTAGCGTCTAACTCTCAAAAATGTGCCAATGAGTAGACTTCAGATCATGCATGGTACAACCATCTCTAGCTGTAACACAATACATACACACTGGCCTTTTACTTGGTATGTGTGTGGTCCCTGAAAATTTATAAAAATCACTAAGGTGGGTGGACTACTATCTGTATTTTATACATCAGGAAATTAAGGTATAGAGACATTAGTTCCATGCCCAAGGTCACACAGGGACTCTGTGTCAGAGCTATGATTTGAATCCAAGCCTGACCACAAAGCTTAAGTGCCCCAACATTGCAGTACATCCACTAGGGACTAATTCTCTCCCTACTCAGCACTCGCTAAGTGAGCAGGGCCAAGCTAAGCCCTGCTATTATCTTTTCTATTTCAGGGTGAAATTCTATACTTTCTGAACTAGTCTTCATAGTTTTCTAAAGAAGCTCTTCAGCTGAGTGTACATAATTGGAGGCAAAACTGCTGGTAATTATCTAATGAAATAAGATTCTCAACATCAATTTTTTTTTTGAACTTCAGGCTTGGAAATGTGAGTAACACAGAATTGGTCTTGTATTTTTTCTCCAACTTTGCTTAAGTATAACCTGAGTACATTATGAGTTTGGCCAACTGAATTGTTTACCATTCATTTTTTTCCTCCCATGGCTCTATTTTAAAAGCTACAGGCATAAAGTTTAAAGGCAACATTTTCTTGTTTTCCTGGGAAAACCATCTTACCTCTGTATGTATGAGTTGTTCACACCACGGTGATCCAATCATGGCTGAGTGCAGCGATTAGCAATGCAAGTATCTCTAGGTCGGTCAGCTTGTTCTACGTGACCAATGGCATTAGAGGAAAAGAAAAGGAAGGTACAACTTGGTCAAAGACATTCTGCTACCTTTCTTCAGCACTCTTGCTTTCGTCTTCCTTGGTGCTTTATATATGCACTTGTGTATAGTCAGAGAGGATTCACCTCAGCCTTCTGTTTTGCAGGGAATAGGTTGTACTTTGTTGTTCACAATGGATTATTACAAATGTCACTTATCAACAGAAAAAGTTGAAATGCCTCAAAAATTAATAATCTGCCCACCTAGAATAAATACCACTGAAGTTTAATTACTTACGTGTATGTGGAATGATCACAATAAACTTTAAAGGATTATTTTTTTCTTAATACCTGCAGATTCTGCTTTATTCTCTGCTATCGACCTCTATATCCTTAAGGAGTGTAGACAGTGGGAATATTAAGCAAAACAACAGAAATAATATTGTCAGGAAAAACATTTGCACAGTATGTCCCCAATGCAAATATAGGTTATTGTTGAGTATCACAACAGTATTATCTATACTCCTGTTTCTCTTTATTACTGAGAAAACCCAGTTAAATTATCATGTCAGTTCTATTCTGTGAGAACTCTCAGCACTATAAATAGGTTTAAAAGCATATATGAAAAATCATCATTTTATTATTCATCATAAGAAGCCAGAATAGCTTTCAGTGATGATAATCCTGATGACACTTGCATACCCTCAAATAAGTTTATCCTACTTCTTATAAATGTTTGTTAAGCAGGAAAATATAGCTTTTAGTATAATAGTCATTTCTTCTATTTATTTTTTTTACCTTACTTAAATTTTTCTTTTTTTTATTTTTGCTGTGCTAGGATCAAACCCAGGGCCTTGTACATTCCAGGCAAGAGCTTTACCACTGAGCTACATTTCCCACTCAGTTGTTTTTTTTAGATCTAACTAATTAAAATGTGCACCCTATGAAAACAGAGACAAGATAACATTTTTAGGATTTTTTTTTTTTAAAAGCAGGGAAGTTCTGAATTAAAACAGCTATATAATGGTTGCTTGGGATGACTTACTTAGAATAACTAGATGATTCCCATTTAAGTTAAAATCTAAGGACAGAGAAATGGATAACATTTGGTCTGGAAAGGAATGAATTACTTGAACATTTTCTGCGTTGATCTTCCTTTTACATAGTTTCAGGTCAATGTATACAAAACCAAAACCCTTTTGATTAAGTAGTACTTAGAAATATTAACTGAGTGTTCCAGAGAAAATAAAAGAGAGAACCCTGACCTTATCTAGGAAGCTAAGTTTAGGACATGGGTGGTTTTTGAGGAATCCTACTAGGAAATACAAGAAATGTGATACTTCTTCTGAATCCTGTAGCATCATTCTCTGAAGAAGGTGTTTATTTGCTACTACTAAGCAATAAAATATGTTAAAAGTGTGTTAAATATACAAATGATTTTAATACCTACCTGAATTTTGCCTGCTTTTAGAGCAGCAAACATGCACTGAGCTGTGTTAAAGGCATGTCTCCAATTATGATAGGCAACGTTCTTCCGATAATTCTTCTTAACACTCAAAATCCATCTGCAAAGAACCTTTAGGAAATAAAGAAGTAAAAATAGTAAAAAGTAATTGGCAACATTTATCACACATTAACTATGTTCCAAGCACTGTATAAAGCATTTCCATTCTATCCTTACAACTGTGGGAGGCACTACTGTTTTTATCATTTTGCAATGAGGAAACAGGCAACTTGCCAGTTGCTAATAAAGGGAGGACCAGAATTCAAACTTTAGCAGTTTGACTATAGAACCACCGTGTTAACTACTACCTAGCTAAATTAGATGAAAAATGTACAACATCTCCAAGAAAGGTCAAGTAAATCTGCCTTATTCACAGATTTGTTTCATGTGGTTTTGACCAAGCAGTCAAAAACATAAATAAAATCAAAAGAAATTTAAGCCAGGTGCCGGTGGTTCACGCCTGGAATCCTAACTACTCAAAAGGTAGAGATCAGGAGGATCGTGGTTCAAAGCAGACCAGGTAAATAGTTCATGAGACCCTATCTCGAAAACATCTGTCACAAAAAAGGGCTGCTGGAGTGGCTCAAGATGTAGGCCCTGAGTTCATGCCCCAGTACCACCAAAAAAAAAAGAGAGAGAAAAGAAATTTAAAAAGTAAAAATTTTAAATTCCTGCTTGTGCCTTACATAGCTCAGTTGACGTGGAGTTCTGTCTGTCCCACGTTATGGTTGGTAGTATTTAAATCCTGTGATCTGTTAAGTATTTTTCTTTCCCTTAATTTTGTGAAAATTTGCTTTCCCAAAAGCAAATGTGCCCCCAAAGCAAGGTAAAAGTGAATGTGCTTAACTGTAGTGATAAAGTGAAAATACAAGATTTATTGAAAAGCTATGTCTTTGGTGGAAGTTGGGTGGTGTTATGGGAAAAATGAATCAAGTATTGCAGCTCAGCACTGAACTCTATGCATCTGGAGCATGAACAAGTTTTCCTCAATGGTAGTGTCCTCAGACACATATACCCTTAGATATCAAAGGTCTCCTGTATTTTGGCATGGGTAGAGTACTGACTAACTTTTTAAGAGGTTACGTCTCTGTGGCATCAATTAGGAGAGTCCAAGGAGCCAAATGTGCATGAATTCACCTTAAGAGAGCAAATTCTTCCCATGCTCCCAAGCTATATATCTGTGAAAGTATTTAGTGGAAAGCTCTGCAAGTGGACTGAGGGCAAGTTATCTAGCACATGTCCAAGGGAAAACTGGAACTGCAAATTCTAATACCATCATTAATTAGATCTTTGTCCTTTTAAGTTATGTTTAAACATCAGGCAGAGTTACTGTTTAGCTATAAAAGAAACAAAATTTTGAAGATAATATATGCTAAGCTCATGTTTCCATATGGAGAAAAAAAGTACTTTATAAGACTGGAGGTGAAAAGGCTAGACTGTTCAAGGAAGTCTCACAAGTTGGGTTTAATTCAACTTCTAAGTGGTGTATTAAATAAAATCCCCAGGGACTCATGGGCCCTAAGCAAGGTTGTTCTGTTTGTCTTAGCCTCAGAGTCTGCCTCTCTTCAAATCTGAATGATTTACTACACTTTGGGGGATTTGTGAAAATAAATACATGCTTCTCCTTGCATATTACTGGTGATGCTGCAAACACAAAGAGCATTGCCTTGAGGAATGGAAAAAATACCAGGGAAAAGAATTTTGCTTTGACAATGTTCAACACAGCATGCTTGGTTACAGAGGGAGGCCAAAAACAACGAGGTTTCTTCACTGTTGATAGACACTGGTTATACGTGACTCGGTGGGAAATCAGTGCTTTCAGTCTTCCCTTTTCAGTTCTGTTCTAAGGCTAGTTCACAGGGGATTCTAGCAACAAAGAACCTCGATGTCTCCAACCTTTGGCCCTTGGAATTACTGTTTTGTTTTTTTTTTCCAAGCAGAGGATTTCTGTGTGCCTAAGATCGACGTGTTCTCTGGGAATACAATTTCTGAATAAAGTCTGTTAGGAAGATGATGAATTGATCTTACTAGGAGAATTTTATGTAAAAAGTTGTAAGTTATCTTTGATATGTTCAGAAACTATACAATAGTATATTGTAGAAAATTACCAGGGATTAATTAAAGCAGCAAGGAAGACAAGCAGGAAAATCAGAAGCTCAATACATGTTATTTATCTTTTTATCAATCCTAAGTTTATAGATACAATTAAATATGCACATATTCCCTATAATCTGAAACAATAATTAAAATGATTGTGTATGAAACAAAAATTACAGGTAGACTATTCCATTATATGTAGTTAAATGGATCTAATTAAAATATACCAAACAGAATTGGGTAAGTTAATGTTTACAGTAGTTATAAACTAGATTTAAGTAATTTTAGATTCTGTTACCAGATGTTCTCAACAACATATGGAAAATTAGGGTCCTGTCTAGTAAATTCTTGGTGGATATACCTGGCAACATCCACATCTGTAATTGTTTTTTTGCAATACTAGGAATTGAATGCAGGGCCTTGCTCTACCACTTGAGCCATGATTCAAGTCCTGCAACACAGTATTTTGAGCAGGACTACTGAGTAGTTATTTGTAGTTCAGATAAATCTGGACAGCAGGTTCAATTCACTGAATGAATCTCCAATAATTCTGGGGGCATCCAAAGGCCTGAGTGGTAGACTTAAGATGCCACCAGAGAAAGAGTAAAAGAAAACAGCTCAGTTCCTGTGTTCAAGAAACTCAGTCAAAAGTGAAAACTATAAATATGTAAATATGAATACATAAATATAAATAAATTTAAATAATGTAATAAATTTATATATGTGAATATAAATACATAAATAAACAAGCAGAAAATTGAAAGCATGATGCCAATCCTAAAGCTTTCTTAGTCTTTTGAGTCGGGCTCTGAGAAAAAGAAAAATATGTGGCAGCATAAAGTGTAACAGACATAATTCTAGGGAGAAAAGCACGTAAAAGAGAAAGTGAAAATAAGCACAGCACATGCAGATTTGTTTGAGTAGAGTCAAAGACCAGAAAGATGCAATGATTGCAACCCTTATAAATTAACTCGATATTTGGAAGCCAAGTGGAGACTTGAAGATCTATCTTTCAATATGAAGTACTCTTTGTCAGGGCCATTTCATGATAGCATCATCCTGTCTAGCAAGAACATTTTAATTTTATCATTCTAAAATTATACTGACAATAATATTTGAAATAAACAAATAGATGAGGCACTAAGCAGGAAGTCCAACCAGAATAATCACAGTTGTCAGGTTGACATTGCCCAGGATTAGAATAAGAGTTATCCACACAGAAAAGGAAAGTAGATATTAGACATCAAAGTAAAATATTTTTCTATGGATAAAAATCCAAGAAAAGGTAAGAATAAAGATTGTTACAGATACTTTGAGTGACTGTCTTTATTACCTAACCCTCAAATGGTACCTAAAAGCCAAATAAATGAATTGATTTATAAAAGTTTCATTAAATAGTACAAGAATCACCTTCCTGTGTTCTGGCCAAAAACTTCCAGCAGAATCATTACTAGTTTCAAGTATGGGAGTTCCCAGGAACAGAAGGGTTTGAGATACTGTCAAGGTTTCTATGTTCCTGCATCTAGCAATAAAAAATGAGACTCAAGCTTAGAAGTTCTGGCTCTAAATGAGACCTTCACCCCTTTAATAGACAAGGCTTTTGAAAATGAGCCCTATATTCTATGACACAGAAAGGGTTTTATAGGTGATATAATCACCACCAACTTTGGCCTAAGAATGGGATTACTGACGTGCACTCTACATCTGTGGGTTAAACAGAATATTCGACAGAGGAATACATATGCACACATATAAATATCACATGGATGCATGTGTAACTCTCACAGACTTCCATGGGGCAGGAAAAACATTTATGCTAAATTAACAGATGAGGAAATTGAAAGGTAAGAGAGTAATTGCCCAAGGGAACACAAGCTAATCACTAGGAGAGCTGACTCAAAACCTATCATCTTTCTACTCCACCATGCATCTCTATTTCTTCATTTGTAAAATGGCAGTAATAATCACAACCAGAGGAACTTTCTTGAGAGCCTGTTAATAATTAAAAGACACAATATTTGTTAATCAACACAATCTAACACACTTGGTTTTCATCCAAGAAAGAGTCATATAAACTTCGGTTAAATTGAAGAAAGATTAGATTTGGGCCTTCCGTAATACAATAAATGACTATATTAACTTTAGCTGTATTCACCATTAGTTTTCTTTCCTAACTGTGAGGCCCTTCTGAGTGAGGACAATTCATCATTGAAATGTGTTACTCGACAGTGCTGAGTACACAGAATATGTGAGTAAACTTTCATTATCTGAATTAACGGAGGCCTAAGTACATGGACTTTCAACTGATCAGAAGTACCATCAAAAGCAAGACTGCTGAATGTTCTCTTCAGATAGTCCCTTCTGTTCTCCCTATTCTTTGATGCTGTATACATAGTCATTAAGAAATAAAAAGAGACCTCTGTGTATCTCCAAACTGATCTTAGAAGGTACTGATTTAAGTCTTGCTATTTTCTGAGAGGTGAGTAAGGGAGGTACCAGGGGTTAAGTCAGTTTTCATCCTCACCCCACATAGGTGACCCTGTTCCAACTTAGAGTTTGGCCCTACATCAAGTGCCTGTACTTCCTCATTGCCAAAGGAGCACACTCTGCTATGGTTCCTTTCTGCACATTGTTGTTGTAACCTCTGCAATCAGATCTTGTTACCACCCTGATAAAACTTCCTCAGGGACTCAACACTATTTTCAGGAAGAAATTCAAATTCCTCTGAATGGCTTTCAAGGTTCACAGGATTTGCTTCTTACCTTCCTTTCCACTCACCCCTCCACCAGGGCTCTCCCCCAATCTCTCCTGCCATCTTGCTTTGTATATCCTGCTCTCACTTTTAGTAACCTTCTCCCATCTTCTTCAGCTTGGTCCTTGATACATGGCAGGAATTGAAGATATGCTTTTTTAATGGCTGATGGCCTTAAAAATCTTCAGGTATACATTAGGCAACAGAATATTAACTATTAAAACTTAAAAATCCCTATTCCATACTAGAATTGAAAACCAATTCTCTCTCTTACACACACAGACACAAACACATTTCCAAAGAACACTGCTGCCTTCCTACCTCATGTTTCATCTGGAAGTTCTGTACAAGGTGGAGGTCAGTGAACATCCGAATTGTGCATAATGCTGTTTCCAAATCTGACAGCTCAAAGTCACTGAAGCTGAAGTCAGTAATTTTAAGGGTCTGGGCAGATGGCACCACGGCAGCCTTAGGAAAGGGGAAAAAGGAAAATGAAATAAGTTCTTAATTAAAGCAGCAGTTAGTCATGAAATTTTCTCACTTTGCTATAGGAAACTAGCATATTGTGTTTCTTTTTAATGTTGCTACAGTTTGGATCTGAAATGGCCCCAAAGGTCAATGTGTTAACAGCTTGGTCTCCAGAGTGGCACTCTTGGGAGGTGGTGGAGCCTTTCCCAGGTAGAGCCTAGCGGGGAAAGTTAGATCACTGGGAGTGTGCCCTTGAATAGGATATCAGTCCTTCCTCTTCCTGTCCTTCACTTCCTGGCCACCATGAGGTGAGCAAGTGTTCCCCACCACATGCTTCCCACCATGATGTGCTCCCTCATCCCAAGCCCAAAAGCAAGCAAGATAACCAATTATGGACTGAAACCTCAGAAATCATGAGGCAAAATAAACGTTTCCCCCCTTTTTTTTTTGTTGGTTGGTACTGAGGTTTGAACTCAGGGTCTTGCATTTGTTAGGCAGGTGCTCTATCACCTAAGCCACCTCCAGCCCTTTTTTGCTTTGGTTACCTTTTTGGGTAGGCTAGACTCAGACTGCAATCTTCCTAGTATGCCTCCAATGCAACTGGAATTACAGATATACACCATCATGTCTGGCTAACTTTTTACTTTGACTGTCATTAAACATTGATCATCCCAATCTCTGCCTCCTATAATGGCTGGGATTACAGATCTAAACCACTGCACCTGACACTAGTTCTATTCTTAATTTGAGTCTATTATAAATTCTATTCTTAAGGTCCCAAAGCCTCCTAGGAAGGTGAAGCCCATTAACCAATGTTGGAAAACTAGCAGACCTGGCAAGTACACACCAATTTGTTTTTTGTTTATTATTGAATTAAAAAAAATTATCAAATTTACTATACTGTTTAAAAATTGGGAGAACTGAAAAAAAGCTGTGTGTAGTGTTGTACACCACTAATCCCAACACTCAGGAGGACAAAGAAGGAGGACTGAGATACTGTCCCCCCAAAATATCAGGAAATGCAAATCAAAGCAAAGTCAAAAACGGCTATCATCAATAACACAAACAACAACAAATGCTGGTAAGGATGTGGGGAAAAGGAACACTTCTACACTATTGGTGGGAATGTAAATTAGTGTGCCTGCTATGGAAAGCAGTATGGATGGCGATTCCTCAAAAAACTAAAAATAGAACTACCATATGATTCAGTGATACCACTCCTGGGCATATATCCAAAGCAATGTGCTCCAAAATACGATAGAGCGACCTGCACACCTACATTCACTGTAGCTCTATTCACAACAGCCAAGCTTTGGAAACTTTCCAGATGCTCCACAATTGATGACTGGATTAAGAAAATGTAGTATACATACACAATGGAGTTTTATTCAGCCATAAAGAAGAATGAAATTATGTTGTATGCAGATAGACGCATGAACCTGGAGAACACCATGTTAAGCCAAGTGAGCCATACTTGAAAAGTCAAAGATCACATTTTCTCTCATATGTGGAAGCTAGACCTACCAGTTAAATGCATATATAAATACATATGTGATAAATACATAAATGCATACATAGACATATATGATCATATATATATACATACATATATATACACAGAGAGAGAACAGATTGTATTAGTGGGTCTGTCTGAGGGGACAATGGGAAGTGGGAGAGGGAAAGAAAATGTTAGAGAATAAAAAATGTTGAAACAGCCCATTTATATATGTATGTAATATAACATACTGCACCATAAGCTGTTGAATATTAGGAGAGCATGACAATAGAGAAAGAGTAAGTAATGATGGGGGGGTTAATTTGATTAAAGCATGATGCACACAGGCCTGAAGTACCAAGGTGAAACCCCCTTGAGTCCAGGTATCAAAAGATACTTTAAAAAAAAAAAAAAAAAGGACAGGAAGGTAAAGCAGGTCTTTTCCAAGAGTAGGCACTAGTGGGAGGGGAGTGGGAACAAAGAAAGGGGGAATGGGTGTGAATGTGGTAGATGTATCATATTAATATATGAAAATAGAAGAATGAAACCTGTTGAAATTGTTCCAAAAAGGGAGTGAGTGAGGATGAGGGAGAATGATGGAGAGGGTAAATCTAACCAAGATATATTGTAAGAAAAAAATATAAATATCACAATGTATCCCCCAGTACAACTATTATATGCTAATAAACAATTTTTTAAAATTGAGCTGGTGGAATGGCTCAAGTGGCAAGAGTGCCTGCTTAGCAAGCGTGAGGCCCTGAGTTCAAACCCCAGTGCCACCAAAAAACAAACAAACAAACAAAAAAACCCAAATTTATTATATTGTTTAAAAATTGGGAGAAAAAAGAAAAAGCTGGGTATAGTGGTGTATACCTCCAATACCAGCACTCAGAAGGATCAGGCAGGAGGATTGAGAACCTGTCTCAAAAAAATTTCCAATTTCTGAAGTATCAGGTCATACTAAGGTCTGATCCAATAAAGCAACAACTGACTGAGGCCAAGGAATCCTCACTTTCTCAGACCAAACAGAGCTCTTGGGCTTCTCTCCTAGATTTCCTCCTGGGCTTTGTGGGCAATGGAATTTGCAAGAAGCCCCACTTCTCTACCCCTGGACCATTTGCCCTGTCAGTTTTAGCTGAAGGTTTAGCTCCATCAGGATGAGATTAACCTGATGAAAAGAGGCTTTTATTCATTTGGGGGCAGAGAGAAGAAAAATTAAGAAATTGGAACCAGGTTCCAAACCCTTTAGGTTTGTTTCTTGTATCTAAGTTTCACCACTTGTTTCGCCTTCATCTTTTGTAAGATTAAAAAGATCAAAATAATGAAATCTTAGTGAGCAATCCAAAGCTGTGGATTTCCCTATGTACTTGAGGGTACTTGCAATGTTCTGCTCTCCCTGGCCTTTGGATTTTACTTATATAGTACCAGATTTGTTTTCACTTCCACTGAATGTTCATACCCTAGGAATCTTTCTCCAAGATCAAATTCACAAGAAAGTGTGTGTTCTGTAAATTCAGCTCTACAGGTTGATGCGTGGGCTGAAATAGGGGAAGAGAGGAGGATTGAAAATGTTTAGACAAAGGCCGAAATTGTTTACAGCAGCCTCTAACATTGGAGATGTAGCAGCAATGCCAGTGGGGAAGTGTGGAGGTAGGAACAAGCCCATCTTCTAACTCAAAGCAGATAACAGCTGCTTTCCTTAAACAGTCACTAGACAAGAGAACAGATGTTTTTTTTTTTCCTTAGGACATCATTATTCTTATGGCAGGAAGTTTTCTTTCGTTCCTTCCACAAAGCATGTCCTGCAAGCTGCAGCATGGAAACAGCCAACAGCCTGGGCCTCTCTCCCTTATGCACTCATTTGTTCTGCTTCTCTGAACTTCCTTTGCTCTTTCAGTTACGCTACACCACAATTCAACTTCCTGAGTACACCCAATGGGGACGTACAAACATTCTCCTTAAGAGCCTCATGATCAGTGATACAGGGGTTCAGAATTCTGGGATCACTCACTAGTAAGGCATGAGAAAGCCAGGAATCCTTTAAAGCTCTCCTAATCTGTTTCTTTACCATCACACAAAGATTTAACTTTCTATTTGTTTTGGAGAGGCTTGGAATAAGGGTGATTTTTAGTAAAATATGTTATTACCCACAATACTTCCTTACCATTTCATAAAACAAAATATTCTTCAGGTTACTAATACTACCACTAATAGCAGGGAATATTTCTGGGATAGAATATATATATTTACTTTCGGATTTTCAGTTCTCCTTTTAATGATGGTTGTATTCTTTTGAATTTGCAAAATGAGATTTCTGTTTGATTTTTTCAAAGAACATAATTTATAATATTATGATTTCAAATACTAGCCAAATAGTACTTTTTTAAAGACTCCATAACGATAAGGTACTATACATCTAAGTGCATATATGTATTTTTTAGTTAAAAATTCCAATTCAAACCCTTGGGGAGTCTTTACTTCCTTCCACTTCTTGCTTGGGGAGCAGAAAATGGAAAATTGAGTTTCCTGAAACTGCCATCTGTTTTATTTTTGCCATATGTTTTTAGGGTTAATTAATAATTTCTCTCTTCCTTCCAAGTCTCTTTTAACTATTTGTTGTCTGCCTGTAATGCACATCCTCAAGCTTTCACAGAGCTGACACTCAGTTTTTATGTCTTAGCTATACCACTGGTCTCTGTGATAAGAGACCATACAAGCAATGATTCCAACATTTTTCTAAAAGTGAGCAGTCAGTTTCTGACGGCAATAGGAAGCTACAAAATACACTTCCCTGACTCCCTAGCAGGTAGGGCTCCAGATGGATTTGTTTCCGCCATGAGGCAGACTTGGGGGAGGATTGAATTTCAAACTAATACTGCCACAGAGGAAAGCCATTTTTTGGGGGTGGGGGAAGAGTATGGCTCTAGAGAGCATAATGTGGTTTCAGCAGCAGCTTTTCAGCCCCAAATTATCTAACATGGTTGATTCTGGAGGGAGCAGATGGCCAGTGACTTTCTCTGATTCTGGCCTATTTGGAAAATCCCACCAAGAGCCAGATCTGCAGTTTTGTTCTAGAAATCATTCCTGGGATCACTTATCTACTCCTAATAATTTGAGAGAAATTATTTTGTCTAAAGTAGCTAATTTCTAATATCCAAAATTTAACCTTGATGATACTATACTTGGCAACAAAAGTGTTTGCAGGCAACAATACACACTGAAGGTTAGGAATTTGGGATTGGATAGCTGATCTAGATGAGTGTGAAGACAGAAGGGAATCAGGATTCCATTAGAGCAGAGGCGTTCAAAATGTGGTCGCTGGAAAACCAGCAGCAGTAGCAGCAGCATCTGGGAACTTGTTAAAAATGCAAATTCTTGGGCCCCAACACAGAGCCACTGAATCAGAAGCGCTGGGTGCCCAGTCTGGCAAGCTGCTTGTCACAGGCGATTCTAATGAATGCTGGAATTTGAGAACCACTCCATTACGGAGAGGTTATTAATGGCT